GGGGCTGGGAAAGGAGGGTGGGAGGTAGGGGAGACATGTGGCACCATATTGATTGTAGATGTTTAGAATGTGTTATATTTAGTAATTACTGGTACTTTGAATCTTCTAGAAAGTGCTTTGGAGTACTGTTGCCTAGCACGAAAAAAAGTATGTTGTCATTGTGAAAGAACCAGTGTGATGTCAATCTTGAAGGCCATAATCAAAACTGCCTCCTGGGAAATTTTCCGTAGAGGCTACCTACAATGTTTGCAATGACTTGATGAATTACTACCAGAATCTCATTCTAGTCAGAGGCCTTAACTCTTTGACTATCATGAGTGACTAAGACAGAATTTCTCCTTACAATCTCAATACAATATCAAACTGACAAGTGGTGAGAATAAAGAACAAATATGACTTACTCATTAGGGGATTATGAACTGATCCAGTACCAAATTCTCAGAACTAATATCATAAGAATTGTGTGGCAGACAGTAAGGAGAATTACTAATGAGATCTTGTCAGTGAAAGGGTTATTATATTATAAGCTCCTAATGGAAAATTCTTTCAGTTGGCAGAGGGTGACTTATAGTAAAATCTGAACTGGTAAAGGTTTAGGTGTCACCTGATCTTAGGTTTTTCTTTATTCCATTCTTGAGACAAAATTGATGTGTAATTTCATTTTAAAACTTATTTTTGTTTTGTTTCTCAGGGCTCCAATGGGTTGGTGGGTGGATAATTCTTCTAAAGGCCTGCAGGCTTCAGTTGGAAAGTTCAAAGCTGGTGTCCAGTGCCTGTCTAAAGCTGATCTGCATAAAATTACCTCCAAAAAGAAAAGATAACAGTAGTGAAGTTAGATAATGCAACTTTAATGATAGCCCAAGGTACAGTCTGCTAGGACAATGTAGATTAAGTATACCATGTTTGCAAGGTCAAGTTTGTTCGAGGACTATGAGACAGCTTCAAAACCCTGGGTGATGGGCAAGTTCAAACAAAACTGTGAGGAAAATGTTAAAAAAGACAACATCACTTTGCAGTTTTGTCAGAATCATGGAAATCTGGACCTTTTTTTTTAATTAACAGTTCTGTCTAGGAGGATGTTAATGTACACAGTCATCATTGTTGAGTGCAATTAGTTAATGAGGACCTGTGGTAACAGGCTGAGAATTGTGGCAGATTCAGACTGGTTGGATCAAGTGAAGATCATGTAGTGTTCACCTCAGAAAGCTGATTACTCAGACAAATGAGAGTATGCACATTTTTAAGTGGGAAGTAGTGCTACAAGGTATTTAGGAAGTTGAAGATGGCGTAGCAGCAATAAATGGGAAATCGTAATTAAAAAAATTGTATCTCATTTCTCTTTTTTAATTTTGCAAGTAGCACATTTTGAGTGCAATATTTTCATCTTCCCTAACAATGCCAGATCTCCCTGTTAGCATAACATGTGGCTGCAGCATCACTTTGCAAGTAGAATCAAGTATAATTCACAGTCAGAGTCTTCTTCACTGAACATGTAGGAAATGTACATGGTTTAAAAAACACTCAAAGGTTTCCTTTTTTTGTATAGTTTGTCTTTCAAATGGTACCTGGTATTTCTTAAGAGTATATATACAATGTTCAATTAATATTTAACTCTATGTTTTTCATCCATATTTTAATCAACTTATTTATTTGGGATAAATGCAAAGATTTGCTATTTTCCCCCTCTGTAGTGATTGTATTGTAATTTTCAAATTAGGTTCTACATGTGCTTGCCATAGTCATAAATTTATGAGTAGACTTTTACCTATTTAAGTAACCCACAAGGGTTTTCCACTTAGCCATAAATTAAACTGAAACTAGTTACTCAGGGTGCTCTAGCAGAGCATTTTGCTCTTAAAAATAGAGAAAAACAGCCAACTTTTTTGATAAAATAAATTTATTGCTTACTTTTCCCAAGCTTAAGGTAAATAAAATTGTGAGCATTAAATTATTTCCCAATCAGTTGAGTCTGGAAAACAGTATGACTCAAATTATGCATAAAACCCACTAAATTTCACCTTGATTGTAGAGAAATTACCGCAAATGACCACCATGCTAACCTAGCAAAACCAGTTGTGTATGCCCTGAGTAAGGTTAAAATTCAGTAACTCCAGTCCATTTTGATTACTTGATCAACCATTTTTTGCAGCCAAATAAAATTTTGGTATCACTTATCATTATTGGTCCAAAGCTATCATAACATAGCGCGCGCTAGTCCTATCTAATTCCTATTACGTCATCATGAACAAAATCTTTATGTACGCACGGCCGTGCGCAATAAAATGACGTGTGCAGTATCAAAATAGCTGCAAAATTGCCGTCGTGTGAGTTCCTTAAGGTGGCTCAATAGGGTTTTTTGGCCGGGTGAAGAATGGGTACGAAAATAGCGCGCGCTTTTAAATGGCATCAAATATGTAAACAAACATGGCGGCTTCACTAAAAGCCTTGACTTCAGAGGTGACTGTTGTACAGCAAATTTAGGCCCTTGTTTTTTATGTTTCAGTAGCTTTGATTTGAAAAATAGCAAAAACAACGAGAAAAATTAACTTTCGACTGATGTCACTGGCGCGCGCTTCGTGATCTTGCATAACCCTATTGAGCCACCTTAAGTTAAAGTTTCGGAAAGCGATATCGGTAAATGGAAGACCAACCAAACTATTCGTTGGCTTTCGACCTTCCCGCAAGCAGTCAACAAGCACAACGAAAACGAAGCACAACAGGCCCGTTTCCCGAATTTATCGGAACAGGAGCAGGAGAAAATTTTAGCTGAAAGAAATTCAGCAAGAACTAAAAAGACTAAAACTTGGTCTGTGGCAACTTTTGAAGGTAAACGTATCTGTTGATGACATTTTTTTTGTTACATTTGTTAAACCTACCGAAAACCAATTAATTACAAAATCACAAAATCAAAAAAACAATCGGAGACGCCAACATTTTCGGGCAACTGCATTGTGAGAACTTTGTAATCAATCAAAAATAAGTAAAACGTCTTTCAGCGCCTAAATTGTTGTCGTATGTTATAAAAGAATTGTTTCATGCTTTTAGCTGTGCGTATATCTAGTTATGGATGGACTTCGGAAGTTTGGAGAGTACTCAAGAAGCTAGAGTTGCTCGAGGCGCAGCCGAGAGCAACTCTTACGCTTCTCTCGTGCTCTCCAAACTCCCCGCGTGCATCCATAACTCGATATACGCACGCTAAGCATGAAACAATTCTTAAATTGTTTAATGTGCTTATAAAACTATAGCTATTTTATGAGTTGCAATAGATCTCAATTTCTGTCCGT